AGTACAGTAGCCGTGTGCATTGTGTTTGTGCACATAGGATGCAGGTTCACATTCCAGGCAGTGTCTCATCATGTCAATAACGACAATGCAAATATTCTAAGTATTTTACTTCCTTCTTTACCATCGCTATAAGAAAGAGGTCCTGGTCCAGCGTCTCTCTGAGCCACACAGCGAGCGATCCGAGTGAATCCAACCACCCTTGCACCAGCCTGCTCATTCCACTCCAATAACTCCTTGCTCCGAGCATGCGCTGCTGCTCCAGTGCAGCGTTCGTCAACGGGTCTCCACAAGTCTACGGGTTCCTCTGAGTGGATCTTAGAGACTCGTTCTGTTCTATGGGTCTGTGCACGTGTGGGTGTCTACGTAAATCTAGGTTGGTGGCTACTCTCGTAGCCTCTTTACCCACAATATCTGGAACTATTCAGGTAACTTCACCTGTCCCCTGATAAAATATTGTTGGAACCCTCCTCATCAACTGTGCCTCGGTAACCCCCTTGATGTATTTCTGATTGTCACCAGGTGGGTACGTGAATAGGTATTCAAAGTTTAACCTGCCGAGAACTGGAGAGACCAGAATGAGTCTCATCTGCAAGCGTAAATTGGTGCAGGAGTCTGCCAGTAGCAGGCGATGGTTGCAGCTGCTGTGTGTAATCACAATTGAGATAAAATCTCACCGTGGTGGTGAGATGCTAACTCCCTTGCCTAGTGTGCACGAGGTCGTGGGTTCGATCCCGATCCCGACCCTGACGCCTGTATATTTGGTGTTTGCATGTTCTCTCACTCCCTCTGGTCATGTGGATTCCGCAGGTTTTTCACTCCATATTTAGAATAACAAAAATGCTCAGAGTAATTAGCTGCTGTAAATTTCCATTTTTTAAGCCTTCGTTGTGCTATCATATGTGCTAGGCAGGTTGCTTCATTGAATTAGCTTAATAGCTCAGTGGCTCTTACCTGGTAAAAAAACGAAAAGGGAAATAATTTGCAATGTAATTTTGAGCATTTTAAAAAATAGAATAAGCAGGGAATAGAACAAAAAGAATACAAAGAAAATCCCGTCACGACCGCAGCGGATAATGCTGAATGGGCAAATAAAGTGCAACCATACGCAATTAATATATAGCGTGAGACATATAACGTCGCAAATCAAAGAAATAATATGTAGTTAAACCGTTGAAAAACAATCAAATTGGGATGCAAGTGGTGGGCGAGTTCTCCTTGTTGGAAGTACATTTGCTCCCATCGCGTATTTCTGTGCTCCTTAACGGATGTAATTGCATTTGGTACAAGCTGAGCCAACTTGTTTTTGGCCCCGATGCAAGTTTTCTGCCCTTTGTACGACCACCATTCTCAAAGCAGTGGGTGTAGCAACAATATTCAAATATTTCACCTGGGAAATTTCCCTCTAGGTGGAACTTCATTAGCAGGTGTTGTATATATATAGGCTTTTTCCCAAAAATTTATATTACCAAAAATTCTGCCAATATATATACATATTTTTAAAATACTTATCAATCGGGGTGAGCATGGGGCATGAAAGGGTGATGCACACCCCACCCCTCACACCCAGCTGCCTTGCCACATTAAAAGAAACTCGAGGGAGGAGGCTATTAAGAGCCATTAAGTATAAACCTCCGGGGCAAAGGGAGGTTAACGATGATCTGATGAATCTCCACGGTACGAGACCAAGGGGAGAGAGAGAAAGACGCAAACTTTAAATATAAAGCAGCCGTAAGGCGAGCGAAATAACATATAGCCACGGTGGCACCCAATCCATTGCTCTGTCTTTCCATCGACACCAACTTGTGCGCTGAGCTCTGGAAGGATGAGTTTATCTCTCGATACTCATCTCACGAATGAGCTTTCGCAGCTGAGTCTCTTTTATTAATGTTAATATCAACTTATTTTGTTAAGTGTTATTTTTCTTTTTACGCGGTTTTTTAAAAGAGTAGATTCATTTGATATATTCTGTTCATTAAAGTTAAATGCCAACAGGTGAGTACAGTAGCCGTGTGCATTGTGTTTGTGCAAATAGGATGCAGGTTCACATTCCAGGCAGTGTCTCATCATGTCAATAACGACCATGCAAATATTCTAAGTATTTTACTTCCTTCTTTACCATCGCTATAAGAAAGAGGTCCTGGTCCAGCGTCTCTCTGAGCCACACAGCGAGCGATCCGTGTGAAGCCAACCACCCTTGCACCAGCCTGCTCATCCCACTCCAATAACTCCTTGCTCCCAGCATGCGCTGCTGCTCCAGTGCAGCGTTCGTCAACGGGTCTCCACAAGACTACGGGTTCCTCTGAGTGGATCTTAGAGACTCGTTCTGTTCTATGGGTCTGTGCACGTGTGGGGGTCAACGTAAATCTAGGTTGGTGGCTACTCTCGTAGCCTCTTTACCCACAATATCTGGAACATTTCAGGTAACTTCACCTGTCCCCTGCTAAAATATTGTTGGAACCCTCCTCATCAACTGTGCCTCCGTAACCCCCTTGATATATTTCTGATTGTCACCAGGTGGGTACGTGAATAGGTATTCAAAGTTTAACCTGCCGTGAACTGGAGAGACCAGAATGAGTCTCATCTGCAAGCATAAATTGGTGCAGGAGTCTGCCAGTAGCAGGCGATGATTGCAGCTGCTGTGTGTAATCACAATTGAGATGAAATCTCACCGTGGTGGTGAGATGCTAACTCCCTTGCCTAGTGTGCACGATGTCGTGGGTTCGATCCCGACCCTGACGCCTGTATATTTGGTGTTTGCATGTTCTTTCACTCCCTCTGGTCATGTGGATTCCGCAGGTTTTTCACTCCATAGTTAGAAAAAAAAATGCTCAGAGTAATTAGCTGCTGTAAATTTCCATTTTTAAGCCTTCGTTGTGCTATCATATGTGCTAGGCAGGTTGCTTCATTGAATTAGCTTAATAGCTCAGTGGCTCTTACCTGGTAAAAAAAAGAAAAGGGAAATAATTTGCAATGTAATTTTGGGAATTTTAAAAATTTGAATAAGAAGGGAATAGAACAAGAAGAATACAAAGAAAATCCCATCACGACCACAGCGGATAATGCTGAATGGGCAAAATAAAGTGCAACCATACGCAATTAATATGTAGCGTGAGACATATATACGTCGCAAATCAAATAAATAATACGTAGATAAACCGTTGAAAAACAATCAAATTGGGATGCAAGTGGTGGGCGAGTTCTCCTTGTTGGAAGTACATTTGCTCCCATCGCGTATTTCTGTGCTCCTTAACGGATGTAATTGCATTTGGTACAAGCTGAGCCGACTTGTTTTTGGCCCCGATGCAAGTTTTCTGCCCTTTGTACGACCACCATTCTCAAAGCAGTGGGTGTAGCAACAGTATTCAAATATTTCACCTGGGAAATTTCCCTCTAGGTAGAACTTCATTAGCAGGTGTTGTATATATATAGGCTTTTTCCCAAAAAAATATATTACGAAAAATTCTGCCAATATATATACATATTTTTAAAATACTTATCAATCGGGGTGAGCATGGGGCATGAAAGGGTGATGCACACCCCACCCGTCACACCCAGCTGCCTTGCCACGTTAAAAGAAACTCGAGGGAGGAGGATATTAAGAGCCATTAAGTATAAAACTCCGGGGCAAAGGGAGGTTATCGATGATCTGATGAATCTCCACGGTACGAGACCAAGGGGAGAGAGAGAAAGATGCAAACTTTAAATATAAAGCAGCCGTAAGGCGAGCGAAATAACATATTGCCACGGTGGCACCCAATCCAATGCTCTGTCTTACCATCGACACCAACTTGTGCGCTGAGCTCTGGAAGGATGAGTTTATCTCTCGATACTCATCTCACGAATGAACTTTCGCAGCTGAGCCTCTTTTATTAATGTTAATATCAACTTATTTTGTTAAGTGTTCTTTTTCTTTTCACGCGTTTTTTTTTAAAGAGTAGATTCATTTGATATATTCTGTTCATTAAAGTTAAATCCCAACAGGTGAGTACAGTAGCCGTGTGCATTGTGTTTGTGCAAATAGGATGCAGGTTCACATTCCAGGCAGTGTCTCATCATGTCAATAACGACAATGCAAATATTCTAAGTATTTTGCTTCCTTCTTTACCATCGCTATAAGAAAGAGGTCCTGGTCCAGCGTCTCTCTGAGCCACACAGCAAGCGATCCGAGTGAAGCCAACCACCCTTCCACCAGCCTGCTCATTCCACTCCAATAATTCCTTGCTCCCAGCATGCGCTGCTGCTCCAGTGCAGCGTTCGTCAACGGGTCTCCACAAATCTACGGGTTCCTCTGAGTGGATCTTAGAGACTCGTTCTGTTCTATGGGTCTGTGCACGTGTGGGTGTCTACGTAAATCTAGGTTGGTGGCTACTCTCGTAGCCTCTTTACCCACAATATCTGGAACATTTCAGGTAACTTCACCTGTCCCCTGCTAAAATATTGTTGGAACCCTCCTCATCAACTGTGCCTCCGTAACCCCCTTGATATATTTCTGATTGTCACCAGGTGGGTACGAAAATAGGTATTCAAAGTTTAACCTGCCGTGAACTGGAGAGACCAGAATGAGTCTCATCTGCAAGCATAAATTGGTGCAGGAGTCTGCCAGTAGCAGGCGATGATTGCAGCTGCTGTGTGTAATCACAATTGAGATGAAATCTCACCGTGGCGGTGACATGCTAACTCCATTGCCTAGTGTGCACGAGGTCGTGGGTTCGATCCCGACCCTGACGCCTGTATATTTGGTGTTTGCATGTTCTATCACTCCCTCTGGTCATGTGGATTCCGTAGGTGTTTCACTCCATATTTAGAAAAAAAAATGCTCAGAGTAATTAGCTGCTGTAAATTTCATTTTTTAAGTCTTCGTTGTGCTATCATATGTGCTAGGCAGGTTGCTTCATTGAATTAGCTTAATAGCTCAGTGGCTCTTACCTGGTAAAAAAGAAAAGGGAAATAATTTGCAATGTAATTTTGGGAATTTTAAAAAATAGAACAAGAAGGGAATAGAACAAGAAGAATACAAAGAAAATCCCGTCACGACCGCAGCGGATAATGCTGAATGGGCAAAATAAAGTGCAACCATACGCAATTAATATATAGCGTGAGACATATATACGTCGCAAATCAAATAAATAATACGTAGATAAACCGTTGAAAAACAATAAAATGGGATGCAAGTGGTGGGCGAGTTCTCCTTGTTGGAAGTACATTTGCTCCCATCGCGTATTTCTGTGCTCCTTAACAGATGTAATTGCATTTGGTACAAGCTGAGCCGACTTGTTTTTGGCCCCGATGCAAGTTTTCTGCCCTTTGTACGACCACCATTCTCAAAGCAGTGGGTGTAGCAACAATATTCAAATATTTCACCTGGGAAATTTCCATCTAGGTGGAACTTCATTAGCAGGTGTTGTATATATATAGGCTATTTCCCAAAAATTTATATTATGAAAAATTCTGCCAATATATATACATATTTTTAAAATACTTATCAATCGGGGTGAGCATGGGAAATGAAAGGGTGATGCACACCCCACCCCTGACACCCAGCTGCCTTGCCACATTAAAATAAACTTGAGGGAGGAGGCTACAAAGAGCCATTAAGTAATAAAATCCGGGGCAAAGGGAGGTTAACGATGATCTGAGAAATCTCCACGGTACGAGACCAAGTGGAGAGAGAGAAAGACGCAAACTTTAAATATAAAGCAGCCGTAAGGCGAGCGAAATAACATATAGCCACGGTGGCACCCAATCCATTGCTCTGTCTAACCATCGACACCAACTTGTGCGCTGCGCTCTGGAAGGATGAGTTTATCTCTCGATACTCATCTCATGAATGAGCCACCGCAGCTGAGGCTCACCGATTTATATCAACAACAACACTCATTTCTTTAAATTAATATATTTGTTAAAATATTACATTCATTTGATACATTTTGTTCGTGTCAAGGTGTGTACTGTAACAATGTTAACCTTGAAGCTGCTGTTTGCACACCAAGGACACGGGTTTACATTCCAAGCAGTGTCTCGTGATGTCAGTGACAACAATGAAAATATTTTAAGAATTTTACTTCCTTCTTCACCGTCGCTATAAGAGAGAGGTCTTGGTCCAGAGTCTCTCTGAGCAACACAGCGAGCGATCCCAGTGAAGCTCATGGGTCATGGCAAGCGCGACTCCCATTGAGAGTGTGGATAGTGAGCTGCGCTGCTCCATCTGCCTGGGCACGTTTGTCTGCCCCTCCACACTGAGCTGCGGACACTCGTTCTGCCTGCTGTGCCTGGAGGCCGCCTGGGAGACGGCGAGCAGCTTCAGCTGCCCGCAGTGCCGAGCGACCTTCCCTGTGCGACCCCAGCTGAGGAGGAACGTGGCCATCGCCAACCTGGTGGAGCAGCTCAGAGTTGGAGACGGGATGGCCGCGGTCGTCATGTGTGACATCTGCGGTGACGGCCACACTCCTGCAGTGAAGACCTGCCTGAGATGTGAGATGTCCTACTGTTTTTCTCACTTTAGGACTCACGTGGAGAATCCCAGGTTGAGAGACCACGCCGTGGTGGATCCCACTGCGAGCTTGGACGAGAGAAGATGCCGTAATCACAAACGGGAGCTGGAATTCTACTGCACAGTAGATAGAAGCCTGGTTTGCTCGTCTTGCACCATCGCAGGTGAACACAAAGGACATGATGTCACCATGCTGAAGGACGAGCACGAGACACGGAAGGTGAGGCCCTCAGAGTGAGACACCATAACATGATCTGATCAATTCTGTCACTCGGCTACACAACATCTGATGAAAAAAACTTTCGAGTGTTCATGCTCTCTTGAACATCTGCCTCTCTGCCTGTGTAGGTAATTTTCTGGTTTGCATTTCAGAAAAGAGCCTCAGGATGTATTAAATCCTAGGCTTTCATCAAACATAATTGCCGTATAAAGAAATTAAGTGAACAGAGATTTGAGACTAATATTACATCCACCTGATAGACAATTATATCAAATATATCTTCTAAACGAGACAGCTGTGGGCACATGGGCTCTTGGGTCCGAGTCGGTAGGGTCACCAAGCCAGCACGGATCCCACTGGCTGCTGCTACAACGAGGCATCAGCTTGCCCACTCCCCATGCTTCCGTCTCAGTCGCCATAGAAAGGCAGCGTGGAAATGAGGGCCATTCCTGTAGAGGGGTCGGTGTGGAGGGAAGGGTGGTGTGAGGGGTGGCTCAGGGGGCTGGAGTCTCCCCATGGTGACGTCTCGTCTCTCTCTACAGACGCGTGTAGGGGAGGAGACGCGAGTGGTGGAGGAGAAGAGGAAGGAGGCGGAGGAGTCCGTGAAGCAGATGGAGGCCGCTCGCAAGGAGGCTCAGGTACCGTGTCCGGGCCGGGCTCCTTGACCCCCGGGACCTCCACCTAGTGTGGAAGTCGTGGAGGTCAAAAATAATTCAAGCGAACTTCGTGCAGCTTCATAACTGTGATGCGTCTTACTATAACTATATTTGACTTACAAACTCAACATTAACTACAAGGGGGTTCCACATTTTTCTGCATTCGATAACCGCATTGGCGAGTCTGCCGCGAGGTCGGGTTACTCGGCATCGCGTCTTCAACTTCTGTGGCAAAAAAAGTGTCGAGACTGCCACGGATTGTCGGGGTGGAGCTGTGGTGCAGCTGTTGAGCTGCACTGGAAGTCGCGGAACCGGCACGGAAGCAGAGGCACGAAAACCGCACAGCTGCACCTCATGCCATCCCTAATCTACAACTATTTTTATTTTACCAGGTAAGGCCCCATTGAGCTGTGTAGATTTTTTCAGAAGCGACCCTGGCTGTCACAAGCAATAGCAGCTCAGCAAAGTGGCTGGCATCATCATCATCAAGTGAAAATATAGCAGCAGACCCATAGAGATACATAGAGACCCATATAGATACATAGAGACCCATATAGATACATTGGGAGAAATAGAGGTACAAAAAGACCCAAATAATTACCTAGAGACCCATAGAGATACATTGAGATACATAGAGATACATAGAGACCCATATAGATACATTGGGAGTAATAGTGATATATATGGACACATAGAGAAACATGAAGACTCATAGAGATATATAGAGATCCATAGAGATACATAGAGACCCATAGAGATACTTTGGGACAAATAGTGATACATAGGGACACATAGAGATACATGGAGACCCATAGACTAAACTATTTCAATTTCCTTGACATAATGCTTTCATGACTGAAGGAATTCTTATGCTTTGGGTCTTTCGGTAAAGTCACGTAGATAATATATATTTTTAATAACAATAAAATAATACAAATAAAAAGCTTAAAATAAAATAAAGTGAGTAATAAACTCCTTAATATAAGTTTTGGAAAAACAACGGTTATATTTTAAAGTGCACTAAAAAGTAAATAACTCGATTGGACAACGGGAAGTGGACGATAACTTGATGACAAAAGACATGTGGCACCTGCTTCTTGGGCGAGGCGATTCCAGAGTTTAAGGACCGCGGCGTTTTTGACCTGCACAAATTGATATTAAATTAATAAGCCGTCCATACAAATTGTTAATTGCTTTAAAAGAGCCAATTAATTGATTTATTGATGCCCATTTTGATACAGGCATGTATTGTCACCAGATATGAGTACGTGTGCGAAATTTGGAATTGATTGCACAACAGGAAGTAGACAAAATGGTGATTACAAGATTTGACCACGACAAACATAGGAGTCCAGTTAAGTAAAACCGTTGAGAAAATAATTAAAACATCACGACGTTTCGATCGCAACACAAGCAACCATCATCAGCTAAGGCTCCACTGAGCCTTGCAACTCTTTTGCAGATGGAACCTGAATTTCCCAAATGTTAGGTCAATGAAATGGCTTAACAGGTGTAAATTGATAGCAGCCAAATACTCTAAATACTGCACTCTAAACGCTGCTTGAACCCGGAGATGCTCTCTTGGGCTCTGTGGGTTGTGCACAACAGATAAGGAATGCCTTGGATTATAAACCCGAGTCGGACTTGTGAGAAAACCCTACCTTGATTACTCCGATTTTAAATGTGGAGGAAAAGCCGGAGGACTCGGAGAAAAATCCACACAGGCATCAGGGTCGTGATCAAACCCACGACTCCCTGTACACCAGGCCAGGTAGTTAACATCTCGCCACATCTCGTCGGACCCACGAGGGGGCCCCCACCGTACTCCGAGTGCCCGAGTCTCAACATCCACGAACCCAGCCCCCTCTAGGGGAGAAACAAGAAGAGAGCGGCGCCCCTCTTGCCCCCTTGGCATGGATCGACTCAGTCCCATGCGTGCCTCGTCACTGGGGCATGATTCACTACTAGGGAATATTATTTTATTATTTTACCAGGAAAAGCCCATTGAGCTGTGTAGCTCTTTTTCAGAAGCGACCTGCCAATCACAAATTACAGATCAATCAAATTGCTGATATCACCATTATCATGTGGAAATGTATAGCAGCAGCAAAATATACAAAGAGACTCAGATCGATCCATAGACACCCATATACATACTAGACCCATAGAGATACCTCGACACCATAGAGACACACAAATAAACAGAGACATATAGAGAGACCCCGAGAGAGGCCGAGAGACCCATAGAGACCCATAGACTAAACTAATTTTTATTTTACCCAGAACGGCTCCACTGAGCTACGTAGTTCTTTTTTCAGAAGCGACCTGGCTACTACAAATTATAGCTCAACAAAGTGGCTGATTGTAACGTGGATTTTGATAGCAGACAAATACTCTAAATGTGCGACGTTGACCCTAAATGTTGAGGCAAAAACAGGAGGACCCGGAGAAAAATCCATACGACTACAGGGAGAACAAACTCCAAATATACAGGCGTCAGGATCAGGATCGAACCCCGACCTGCTGTATACCAGGCGAGGGAGTCAACATCTCCTAGCCACCACGGTGCCCCCACGCACACACGGAGTGGCTCATGGCTCAGGGGGCCAACCGTGGTGCTCGCGTCTCCGCAGGAATCGGTGGCCGGGATCAGGGGTCGCATCACGGGCAAGTTCGCCCGCCTAAAGAAGGCTCTGGACGAGGATGAGAAGGAGGATCTCCAACGCGTGGCCATGAAGGAGCGCGAGCTGCTGTCCCGGATAGACGAGGACATCGCTCGTCACAAGCAGGAGATTAGCGAGCTCCAGGCGGCGGCCGCTCGCCTGCTCACCCTGCAGCACGAGAGGGACTCGCTCGCCTTCCTGCAGGTGAGGAGCGCCCCTGTGGAGACGCCGTTTGGGAGTCCAGAACAACAGAGCGGGCAGTGGCAGAGGGACTCGTGGTGCAAGGTTAAAGACGTCACTCATGATCTCTCTCTCTCTTCCACAGGGGCACCTGGAGGAGACGCGCAGGTACAGATCCTCAATGTCTCACGGTTAAACACTCACAACACAGGATGTGTGTGTTAGGCACACGGGCTGTGTGTGTAAGACACACGGGCTGTGAGTGTTAGACACATGGGCTGTGTGTGTAAGACACACAAGCTGTGTGTGTTATACACACTGGCTGTGTGTTAGACACGGGCTGTGAGTGAGACAGGGGCTGCGTGTTAGACACTTGCAATGTGTGATATGGATGCTGAGTGTTCCAATGCTGTGGTTAAACAAGGCTGTGTGTGATGCTGTTGGTGGTTGTCCCAGGAGAGAGATCCCAAAGAAATCTGCACCCCCACGTCCCACTTCACTGGACGTCACCACAATCTGCTCCCTTGAAATGGTCGTGAACAGATTCCTACCTTTCGCTTGTGAGTTCCTCAGTCTTGCACCCGCAATGTCCCACTCTGTTGCACTGCACTTCTGTGCTTCCCACCTTCAACAACATTTTATTTCACCAGGTAAGGTACCCACTGAACCTTGTCGCTCTTTTGTCGCATGCGACCTATCATAAATGACAGCTCTACGAAAAGTGGCTCATCACGTGGGTATTTACAGCAGCAACCAAATCCTCTGAATGCCAATTGATTATACACGTGGAGGGAAAAACGTGAGTAGCCAGGGAAAAATCTACGCTACCACGGGGGAGAGACGCAGATTCTGAAAGAGAGCGACATGGATCAGTGGGCCCTACCTGGTGAAATAAAATTAGTTTAACATTTTAAATATTCTTCTAAACCCTACTGCTGGGTACTGGGGCAAGTGCTGTCAGCCAGTAGCACCACCTATGAATGCCGGCACGGCACACGAGGGAGTGGGTGGCCAGCACCACGCCCGGCCGCCTTTGTATCCCTAGTGCCGAATGTTTACACATCACACCAGCAGAGGGCAGTGCAGAGTGAACCATTGTTGTACTGTACCTCCACGATTCTACGTTCACGATCCACACCATCGCCAACGCGCACCGACGAGATTGGTTAAGTATGGTCAAATAACCCCCCAGGACGCGCACGGCGTGGGGAGGCGCTCATCCAGCAGCGGAGTGACACACAATGTGTGTGTGTGGGTGTCAGAGTGTGCGAGGCTGTGACACACAATGTCTGTGTGTGGATGTGAGACTGGGCGAGGCTGTGACACACAATGTGTGTGTGTGGGTCTGAGAGTGTGTGCGAAGCTGTGACACACAATGTCTTTGTGTATGTGTGAGAGTGTGCAGCCCATGGGCTTATAATTACCAACACGCTGTTCCAGCATCGGCGCATCCACACAACATCATGGATGTATGCCGGGTCCAAGCAAGAACATCTGCTGGACTACATAGTGACGGACCAGCGGATGCGAGCCCATGTCCTTGACACCAGAACCTAACCGTGGAGCTGATCTGCCCTCTGACCATCGACTAGTCATCTGTAAGATGCGCCTGCCATTCTTCCACTCCGGTGGTGGGTGTACACCCAGGACCCCATTCCAACCTAAAGTGGCCTGGTCTCAGTTATCTGATGAAAGTTGCAAGCGAGAATTTCATCATCGCTTGCGGCTGGGATTGGCATCGTCCCCAACTCCTCCTGATGTCGAGGGTAAATGGGTGAGGTTTAGGACTGTGACTCATGCAGCTGCAATGGCTGC